GGGTTTCTGAATGGAAGTGAATCTCTGAATACCTGGAGCCTAGCACCTGTAATTGTTTGTAAGGGTGAACTTGTGCATGTAAAGTTTATCCATAGAAAAAATGCTCAATAGTGGTTGTTCTTTTTATCCTTTCTAAGGCTGAAAGAATTCATTGGATTAGTTGTGATTAATCAATTGTTGAAAAATTCAACTGATGTAGAAATCGATTAATTATAACTAGAGTATTGAGACTCAAAAATGCATTTAGCATACCAAAATTGTTTTCTATTTAAAGGCTACATTCCAAAATATTTGCAGTTTTTCAACTATCACCACCAGTACGTGAAAATGTAGACAAGCACTTAGACCGGCCTTACGTAACCATATCACCAGAATGATAGACAATTAGGAGGATCACTTATTTGGATGATCCACCCGGATCATATGCTTTACCTTTAAGATGAAAAACCTTTGTTTATCCATCAATTTGTCCACCATCCAGAACCCTCAAGTAGAATAGTTTGTTTCACCTGGTTTATAATTCTGTAAATAAATCTTTGCCTATCTGATTTTTGATCCCCCCCAAAAAATCGATACCGGTAACCAAAATAATTATTAGTTGGTGGCCTAATCCTTTCCAGATGTTTTTTTTTTTTTGTCCTTTAACAGTTTTATTTGAAGACCCTCAAGGAAAGAATATAAAGTAAATCAGTAAGCTGGAAGTTCTGTAAAATTAACTACCTGATTTTCCTTGGACATCATAAATAACCTTTTCAAGATTGTCCTAGAAATGTTTTCCTTGTGGAAGATCCTGAAGGTTACAACAAAATAATTTAATACAGATGAAATCCTTTACGGATAAAATGAAAAACGTTTTAATAAAATGTATTTTTTTCATTCAAGGGAATCCTGTCCAAAAGGGAAAAATAAGTAAACAAAATTATTCTTGTAAATAAATGAGAAAAAGCAAATTATATACTTAAATATATTAATGTTTTAACGTTTAAAAAAAGTATATAAATATATCATTTAAGATTATCTTGAACGCATTTTGAATGGATATAGTGACCATCAATGTAGGCGTGAGACAGATCACTTTTTTGGGAAAATAATAAAAAAAAAGGCTTGAAGAAAAGAAAAACAAGAAAACTGTTGTTTCTTTAATCAGGTTTTATGCCGTTTCCTATTGGGCTGCACAAACAAAGAAGGTTTAACTGAAGTTGAATCTGTTACCTTATTTAATGCAGGACAACAGAAGACCTATTAATGCAAGAAAGGGCAGCAAACTGCAGAGGTAATGTCAATGTTTGCTTTAAAGGAATGAAACCAGACTGTTCTGGTAGGATGGAGCCTCAGAAGTCCAAATGATTCTGCTCAAACTGCGCTGAATGACGACGCAGTGACCTCCTGCTCCTCTCACTACGGCTGCAGCCAGGAGGAGCAACCAGAGATGAGGTGAGGGGTAGCAGAGGAAGCAAGGCTGCTCTGGCAGATACTGAGGACGGGGGAGGGGAACTGGGGGGGTGAGGCTGAAACAACATGCAGCTGCTTTTACTTGGTAAAATATGAGCCGGCACCTGCAGGTGAGAATCTGGATACTTTTTTAGAGGAGGGAGGTGAACTGGAGGAGGGAGCACGGTGACGGAGGGGAGGGTGTTCCTGCGGCGATGACACCGAGCAGATGTCTCCCTGTCTGTTATAGTCAAGCTCTTCTCAGTTAGTGAAAGGACTGAGTCCTCACTCCAGCATTCATGATCCTTCTCTTTAAATCCAAGATCCTGT